GCCTCCGCGCTCGGCCACCGCCACGCTGCACGTGCTCCTGGTGGACGGCTTCTCCCAGCCCTACCTGCCGCTCCCGGAGGCGGCCCCGGCCCAGGTCCAGGCCGACTCGCTCACCGTCTACCTGGTGGTGGCGTTGGCCTCGGTGTCGTCGCTCTTTCTGTTCTCGGTGCTCCTGTTAGTGGCGGTGCGGTTGTGCAGGAGGAGCAGGGCGGCCTCGGTGCCCGAGGGTCCCTTTCCAGGGCATCTGGTGGACGTGAGCGGCACCGGGACCCTGTCCCAGAGCTACCAGTACGAGGTGTGTCTGGCAGGAGGCTCTGAGACCAGTGAGTTCAAGTTCTTGAAACCAATTATCCCGGATATTCAGGCACAGGGCCCCAGGAGGAAGGGTGAAGAAAATTCCACCTTCCGAAATAGCTTTGGGTTTAATATTCAGTAACCTGTTTATAGTTTCATGTACTTTTGGTGTGTTATATAATCATATTGCGATAGTTTACTTTTAAATCGCAAATTGAAGTTTTTATGCAACTTCAAGCATTATTTTAGAGTAGGATATCCCTGTGGCTTTACAATGTTTTATGATATTTTTCATTAACAAATGCTAGGTTTCATTTAATTAGTACTTGTTTCTAAATAATAGTGTTAAGATTTTAATTATTTCAAACTGCCTAAGCAATTAATTACTATCATATCTCATCATAAAAATCAGAGGTTTCGATTTATTTCAGATCTTGCACTTCATGACTCTAATGACTTCTGTCTACATAGTGTACTTGCTCTATTTAAGGAGGCATATGTACATTTTCAAACTTACTCTAATATTCTATATGCTCGTTTTTGAAAACCGTGTCATTTATTTCTAAATCACAACGTTTAAAAAGAAATATTTCTCTGTTGCTATGCTTATGACACAATGAAACAAAGCATATTGTGAGCAATATTCAACATCAATAATAGCCATAGCTATACTTATTATTTTATCTTTTAAGCATGCTACTTTCACTTGGCCAATATTTTCTTATGTTATCTTTTCTGATGTGTAAAACAAACTATGCCTTATAATTGAAACAAAATTATAAACTACATGAAAATGAATACAAATAAAAACATTTTGAAATTTGTGTTTGAGATTGTTGTAGATGTTCATTTTTTATGTTGCAAATTTAATTACCAAATTTTTAAAAATCAAGAGGACCTAAAGGTTGGAATAAAAAACAATAGTTTCATTAATTTTCATATTATCATATATTACAAATATACTATATATTACTAACATTTCATAGTTTTTGAATTAGCTCTTCCTCCAGTTTCTTACCACAGTATGGTTTCTTCTTGAATTTATCTCAATATTTATAAATCATACGTTTACAATACCGTATCTTGATACTGTTTTGTACTTGAATCATGTCTTTGTATAATAGAAAAGCATTTAGCTTTCTTATTTCCAAACTAGCAAACATATTCAAACATTGCAAATTATTTTTCTCCTATTCTCCCAATATAGATGTCACAGCTTCTTAGTTAAATTAGTAGTTAGTATCTACATTGTTAAATGCTTCAGAATATGCCTTTGTGTACTGTACTATAATTACATTTCCTTTCTTCATTGTGAAGACATCTTTTTTGTTTGATTTGTTTTCATTTGCTGGATAGTTTGACTGGGTATAAAATTCTAGATTAAAACAAATTTCCCTTCGGATGTTGAAAGCTGAAGCTTTCTTTTACTATTGTGTGTTGAGTTGCTCTTTAGAAGACTGACTCCGTTTTGATGCCTACCTCTTTTTATGTGTCCTTCTCTCTTACCTCCTTCTCTGGAAGCATTGAAAAACTTTCTCCTGGTATTCTGAAAAGACCTTAATACAGGCATTTTATTTATGAATCTGGTCTTGCAGGCATACCCTGTTAACATATAGACTCTCACTGTAAGTTCTGAGAAATGTTTTAATATTTTACTAATAATTTACCCATTGAGTTTTCTACATTCTTACTTTAACCAGAATCTCATTAAGTATTAGACCTCCTGGGTTGACTTTCTGAGATTCTAAATTATGTTATTTTTCTTCTTTTCAGTCTCTTGTTCTATTTATTAAGCAATTTATTTAATTATCAAATATTCAGATTTAAGTTTTTCTTTTTGGGTAACAAATGTTTATTTTTAAGAGCACTTTTGGTTTTTCATAACATCCTATTACAAATTTGCAAATGTAAATCTTCTCTCACCTATAATTAAGCTATTTATTATTTAAAAATGCATTATAGGCCGGGTGTGGTAGCTCACGCCTGTAATCCCAGCACTTTGGGAGGCCGAGGCGGGCGGATCACGAGGTCAAGAGATGGAGACTATCCTTGCCAACACGGTGAAACGCTGCCTCTACTAAAAATGCAAAATAATTAGCTGGGCGTGGTGGTGCGTGCCTGTAGTCCTAGCTACTGGGGAGGCTGAAGCAGGAGAGTTGCTTGAACCTGGGAGGCAGAGGTTGCAGTGAGCTGAGGTCACGCCACTGCACTACAGCCTGGCACCTGGTGATGGAGTGAAACTCTGTCCTAAAAAAAAAAAAAAAAAAAGCATTATGTAGTAAGAGTTATTATTGTACCCATTTTAAAATTCCAAGTGAGTCACAGGGAAATTAAGAATTTGCCTAAGGCTATACAGCTAGTAAGGGGCACATAAGCCTTAAGCTATTGTTTGTCTTCCAGGTATAAATATGTACTTGATATGGTTATTGTTAACATTAACTGGGTAATTACATGAGGTACTAGAATAATGAACTTAGAATAAGTCAGCTCTTAAGTTAGCTCTTATTACATTCTATTTCTCTGGGGATATTAATCAGACATTTTTTAAGCCTTTCTTTTGTTTTCTGAATTATACCTATTCCCTCCTGTTGCTTTGTGTGTGTGGCAGTAGTATTAGTTTTGGTCTTTCTATTTCCTGTTGTAAGCATTTTCTCAAATGTCTTATGATCTTTGGCTATCTTGTTATATATATGAATGATGACATAGAAAATGCTGACAGTCAACCCTTCATGAGTGTTGATGGCAGGGCTTCACTTTAATGTAACCATGCTAGGATAGAGCTACTACCTTGGGAAACCCCCACATATCAGTACATGTAAGTCTTTATCTGCACCTTTCATATTCCCCGGGATAGAATTCTACAATACTCAATGTTTAAGGGTTCGATAGAAAAGAGGTCAGACATATATCTTGTGTTCTACAACCTGAGAGTATCATGGGCTAGAAGTCTCAATATTCAGAATTCAATGTTTTGCCTAATCTCCTTATCTGTAGTTTCATACCTCATACTTTCACTCATCTCTGCCTGGGATCTCTAAGACTGGAGATAGTATAATTTCTCCGGAATATAATCTAATTTCTCCTGAGTATAAGCTTTCCATTCTCTGGCTCTCAGTTATTTTCTTGTCTTTGTAGGATGGTGAAAAGCCAGAGAATTCAACTATCCTATATACATACTTTTAACTAATAACTTCTTTTTAAAGTCCTTACCTAACTTCAGCCTTCTTATATACCTGGTTCCTCCAAATCTAGTACCTACTAGGATTATGTGGGGGAAACCCAGTAGTTTATTTTTAGTATTTCCAAGGCAGGAAATTTATTTTAGACATTTCCTGGAACTGTTGTCAATTGCTCTTTCAACTGCTTTCTATCATCAGATAATTTCTGTATTCACTTATGTATTCTTAGCCTTGGTGAGTGCATACTTTTTTATTACTTTTCTGTCATTTTAGAGGGGCTTTAAGGACAAAGGAGAATTGTATAGTCAATCCACATACTATTCAAGTTCTCCTCTTCTGAACTGATAATTTTTCAGCTATGTATCTAGTTCACATTTTTATGAATGTAATTCGAATTTATCATTTTAAAAATGCAGACTTCTTAGATGTCCTCCATTCTTGAGAGTACTTTGAGATGTTTAATAAGGAACAACATTGGTAGGTTCCAACTATCCTATTCCAGCCTATTCCAGCTATCTACTTCATTATGTAGCAGCCATGCACTTTGGCTAGGACTGAAACCACCTCAGGTTTGAGGGGTTATCTCTGACTGGAATAAAACAAAGGGCTAAAGATGGAGTCTTTAGATTCTGGGACTATAATCTCTACCTTTAATCCTATATGTACTGAGACACTGATTTCTTCAGCAACAGGCTGAAGTGCTCTTCGTTGGTCTAATCAGAATGAGGGCTAAGATTTTGTTTATTATTGAGGAAGAAAATCTCTCTCATTTTCTCTTCTTAAGCTGAAAAAGAAAGCAGATAGCCATAGTTGTTTCTAGAATAAATCTTGGGAAACTGAGGGAGGCCAGTCTTATGAATAAACCTGTTTTAAATGAAACTAATATGCTTGTGCTTGTGTATTTAGTATTTTTTGAGAAGCTGGAACTCAAGAATTCTCATAATATGTTCTACTCCCCATGTCTTACTTTATTTTCTAGCAGTTCACAATTCCTTGCCACCAAGGAAATCTATATGAATGCCTTCTAGTGCTATCATAACTATCAAAGTATGCCCCATCTCATGGTTAATCCAGTTTCATATTCTCTGAAAGGGCTTCTAAAATGACCCATGTATACTTTGCCTTTTCCTTACGACCTAAGGAAGTCAAGTAGTAATGGAATTTTTTCAGCTTAATAATATTATTGTTGTTTCATGATTCCAATCTTCTCAGAGAGATTACAAACCACTGGGGCCAGGAATCACATCTTGTATTTCTGTATACACAATTAAGTGGGTTTGGTTGTGTGGAGAGTGGGGAAAGATAAATGCTTTAAGATGAATACTAACAGCATATCAAACTAAAGAGAATATGAAACAATTATTAGAGAAGGTTTAATATATTTGTAATCACTTGAACACAATGAATAAAACAATATTTATTTCTGGAGGATGTAAAAGAGAATGGAATTTAGGTGGCTTTCACCAAACTGTGAAAATCTATGGAGACACTTGGTGGCGCTGCAGGATAATATCGTGAAAAAAAGATCTACTGGATGGCGTTGTGGACACTGACATCCAGTGCACACAGAAAATCAGAAGACAGAACAAGCCTTCAAGAGGGTGACCTAAAGTCATTCAGCAGGGTTAAAATCCTTAGACGTCTGATGATTTTGTGAACAGGTCAAACGCATTCCCCGGAACTAAAGCCATTCTGCAAGAAGCTTACAGGAGAGGAGCTATGGAGAACGGAGGAGTATGCACTCCGCAGATAAGGCAAGTCCTGCTTCTCTTTGTTTTGCTGGGAATGTCTCAGGCAGTCTCTGCAACTGGGAGCTTTTCTGTGGCAGAGGAAATGCAGAGCGGGAGTTTTGTAGGCAATCTAGCAAACGACCTAGGGCTGAAGGTGAGAGAACTGTCCTCGCGGGGGGCTCAGGTGGTCTCTAAGGATAAGAAACAGAGTTTACAGCTGGACATAAACAATGGGGATTTGCTCTTAAGTGAAACGCTAGACCGGGAGGAGCTCTGCGGTTCCACCGAGCCTTGTGTACTGTATTTCCAGGTGTTAATGAAAAACCCCACTCAGTTTTTACAAATTGAGCTCCAGGTCAGGGATATAAATGATCACTCTCCCGTCTTCTTGGAAAAAGAAATGCTCCTAGAAATCCCAGAGAACAGTCCTGTTGGTGCTGTGTTCTTGCTTGAAAGTGCAAAGGATTTAGATGTAGGAATCAATGCTGTAAAAAGCTACACAATAAGCCCCAACTCTCATTTTCACATTAAAATGAGAGTCAATCCAGACAATAGAAAATACCCCGAGTTAGTCCTGGACAAGGCGCTGGATTATGAAGAGCAACCGGAGCTCAGTTTCATCCTCACTGCTCTGGATGGCGGGTCCCCTCCCAGGTCTGGAACTGCCTTGGTCAGGGTGG